TCAATCAACAACATTTGATTTATTAGTTATATAAGAACATTCTAATGTTATCAGAAAACATGTATCATTATCGTAACATTCTAATGTTACCATAAACAGCTACCATTATCATAACATTCTAATGTTATCAGAAAACATGTATCATTATGGTAACATTCTAATGTTATCAGAAAACATATATCATTATCACAACATTCTAATGTTATCAGAAAACATGTATTATTATTATAATATTCTAATATTATAAACATGAATCCTTATTATAACATTCTAATGTTATCATAAAACGTATCATTATTATAATGTTCTAAAGCATGTGTTACTACTAGAATATTATTATAAAACATTCATCAAGCACCCATCATATCCTAGCCGCTGTGCTAGGCATGAAAAATACAAAAACAAAACACAAGAAACTAGCACCTACTCTTAAGAAACTTACATTCTCTGGAGGGAAATAATACATAAACATTTAAGTATAAAAAAAGCAAATGGACTCATAAAACAAGGATAATCATTGTGCTGCTTATCTCACAGGGTTTTGAGGCTTTAATTAGATAATGCATGTAAGGCCCATTGCAAACCATAAAGCTCTATACAGATGTTAGCTATTATTGTTATTAATTTTGTTGTTATTATCGATTTACCAATACTGCCCTGGAAGGTGTAATTTATCAAATGGTATCCTATATGAATTAGCAGGTGAGCATTCCATTACTGAAACATTTTGCCAATCAATAATTAAATGTCTTTACCAAGCTTCTATTTAATAAATGTAATAATAGTAATTGACATTTACATAGTGCTCTAATATGTGGAAATCATTTTACATACATTATCTCACTGGTATTCACAACGCCCCAGTGAGGCAGGTTCAACAGATATTATTATTATTATCATCCCAACTCTTCAGAGGGGAAATGCAGTCTCAGAGAGGCTAAAGGGCTTGCCCATGGTCATATAGCTAAGTTTCAGAGGTTTGATTTGAACCAAGTCTTTCTATCCAAATCCAGCACTTTATTCACTATATCACCTTGTGTTTTAACCAACTTTACAAATAAGCCAAAGTATTGCAGTATTTCTATTTTTACAGATGGAAAAATTGAGTTCTAGGGAACAGCTCTGACTTGTTCAATAAATGCCAACCAGAAATGGGAACAGAAGTCTACTGGTCCAAGTCATGGCCTTAAAAAGACTTTGTTGGCTAGGAAGGCATCATCATTAAGTCCAATTTTATAGGATGATTTCGGCAGAACTAAAATTAAAAGCCTCTATTATATATCTCCCCAAGTGGCACTGATTCCTCCTGTAAGCATTGTGGGTAGTTTTATTTTCCTTAGTAATTTTGTATTCATTTTGACTTTATTCATTTATCCAAGTGTCATTGGGAAGCTATCCTTCTTGGTCCCATCATCAGCTTTCATGTATTGGGTTGACACTAAATCTAATGCACTATGAATTGGCCCAAGGCCATTCTCACTACTAAACCTTCCTTATCTTCATGTTATAAATACAGTATAATATGTGTGACCCAGTATACCACTGGGATCGTTCATAAAGAGGACACGATTTGTTGTTTCCTCTGCAGCTTCATTCTAATAGAGCATGCTTGCAAATGTCCACACACTGGTCCAAATCAGCACACCGTTGCCAGCATTTGTTGGCTTACATAAACAATTCCAGACCTATAGGAAAAATGATGGCAACTGGTCTGCTGAGCCGGAACAGACCACAGAGGACAGGACAAGGTCAGTAAATACTCAGACAGGACAACACTTTGACATAACCCTGGGCAAGGTCAAAAAGAACCAATGGGAACTGCACACATACATTCAGCTGATCCCTGTTATCATCAATGAGTTCCTTTTGTGTATATCTGCCTGCCTCCCAGCTGGCTAAAAAGAGAGGAGGAAAGGGAGGCTCAGAGTTCTCACCTTCATGAAACTAATTAGCAGAAGTGACTCATTTTTACCTGCTGTTGTCTATACTACTTCCTTAACACTAGCTCCTTCTATCATTTCTATCTAGCACAGTGCCTTCAACTCAACAAACATCTGGAGACATCTGACTCCCAAGGGCATCACTAGAGCCCCATCATTGCAAAATAGCAAAGACCGCAGTCTTCGACCTGAGTGCAGAGCACACTAGAGGTGCCCCCATATGAGCTCAGGGACTCACAGAGACTGCATCGTCTCCCTCCCCTCTCCCCTGTGGTAATGTGGATAATTAGAGGGCGTTCTAAGGAGGCCAAATCTGCAGGATTTGAAGGTACTTCTGGACCCAAGGGAGATCTGTTCTTTAAATCAATGCTGTAGACTTCAAATAGAAACAGGCCCATACTAAGGATTCCCGAGGGTGCATACCGGCTTACTTTTAAAATGTTAACAATATCTATGTTTTATTGTATTTTTAATTTATTTTGTCAAACGTTTCCCAATTATATTTTAATCTGGTGTTGAGGGCAGCAACTGCCTTATGTTCAGTTGTGTCTGACTCTTTGTGACCCCATTTGGCAGAGATATTGGAGTAGTTTGCCATTTCCTTCTTCATCTTGTTTTATAGATGAGGAAATGGAGGCAAATAGGGTTAAGTGACTTGTCCAGGATAACATAGCTAGTAAGTGTCTGAGGCCAGATTTGAAATCAGGAAGATGAATCTTCCTGATTCCAGGCCTGGCAATCTATCCACTGTGTCACTTAGCTGACCTTGTGTTTGACACTCTATTTTCCTAGGTAATCTCCTTGAATTTCAGTGTTTCCCCCAATAAACGAGTTCTTTCTTATTTATAGGGTTTCTACAGAGCCTCCCTAGGCTCCATTTCATCTTGTCATCGGAAAAGCAAATAATAGGGGATGACCTGGAAAGAATCCTGGACTTGGACATATGAGACTTATTTTCTAATCCCAAACTCCCCTCTAACTGCCTGACCGTAACCATCTCTGGGCCTTGGTATACTCATCTGTAAAAGGAGAGATCTGGATGAGGTGACTGCTAAGATTGTTTTTACATCTAAAGTTCAATGACTCCATCGCATCTTAAGCAAGTTCTGTGGGTTGTCACATATTCCTGGCAGAGTGACACAGTGACAAAGGTATTTACAGGTGGTGCTGTTGGCACACGGATGGTACATAAGCTCTCTCAGGGCAGGGACAGCTACTTTTTTCATCTTTGTATCTCACGAGCACTTAATGAGGTCTAGTGTTGTACTGGCACCCAAGGAAGGCCTTTATCCCACTCTCATCCCTATGGAGATGTGATAAAGGAGAGAGAGTGCAGACTCTGATGCTGACTTGCTGTGTGAGCCTGAACAAGTGACTCCACCTCTCTGATGTCTCCTCATTTGTACAATGAGGGGGTTGGACTATATGGCCTCTGAGGACCCTTCAAGCTCTGCATCTGTGATCCCAGGATTTGTGAGAAAACAAGGACACAAGACTCATAGTTCCAAGGAGCAGACAGGAGTCGATCTGTGCTGCCAGAGGAAGTGTCTATACATGGATGAGGTCACAGTGCCACTTGAGTGTGGGAGCGCTCGAGTTAGTACTGCAATAGTACAGCATAGAAGGCTACTTTGAAAGTCAGAGCTTAGAATTCACATTGGGCAGAAAGGCATTCATCTGAGCAGCCAGGTGGTGCAGTAGATAGAGCACTGGCCCTGAAGTCAGGAGGACTTGAGTTCAAATCCGGCCTCAAACACTAACTGTGTGACCCTAGGAAAGTCACTTAACCCTGATCACCTTTAGAAAAAAGAAAGAAAGCAAAAGAAAAGTATCCCATTTGAAAGAAGGAGTGTGGCATAGGAGGAAGTGGCTGGATTTGAAGTTAAGGGATGCGAGCTCAAACTCTTGCTCTACCAGAAGGGGGTGGGGAGGATGGTTATACCAGGTAGCGCATCTAAGGTTGTCCCAACTCTAAATTTATGATCTCATGATTCTATGGTCTAAATTCAAGAAGCGAATTATTTTAATTTCATCATTCAACAATTCTTAAGATCAGGGAGGTTTTTGATGTTTGTTTTAAGAGCAAAACAAAAAAGAAAACCTCTTTCAGTTTCAGTGAAAGTGTATAAGAACATTTATTAATGATCTCAGTGCCAGGGCTCCAAGGAGGCTCATCAAGAAAGGCTCAGCTCCCCGCCATGCAACAAACAGGAACTAGGTAAGGAGCAAGAGCTAAAGGAAACATGTAAAATGGGACTCTGGTAATTCTTTGAAATGCTTTCTTTTCATTTCAGAGAAATATGGGGAGATGCAAGGAGAAATGAGCAGAACCCAAAGAGTGACATGCACAAATGATGGCAACAATGTGAAGGATCACTAAAGATGATCTTGGATTGCAGATCATGAATTATGCCTCCCCCCCTTTTATTCAGTCAACTAGCATTAAGTGTCTACTATGTGCTAAGCACTGTACATACAGAGAAAGGCAAACAGAACAGCCCCTGCTCCCAAGGGGTTGACTCAGTCTAAGGAGGGAGGCAACATGTTGACAACTACGTACAAACAAATATGTACAAGAGTCCAAGAGGGGAGGTGCTAACATTAAGAAGTCCCAGAAGAGGATTCTTGCAGAAAGTAGGAATTTAGCTGAGATGTGAAGCCAGGGAAGCCAGGAGCTGGAGATGAGAAGGGAGAGTGTTCCAGGCAGGTGGCACAGCCAGTGAAAACACTCAGCCAGGAACATGTGAAAAATTGCAAAGGGGCCAGTGTTACTAGAAAGCAGAGTGCTTAGAGGGGAATAAGCGGAGAAGAAGGGAAACTACTGGGGTATGGTGTTATCATTTCATTGTGGGTTGTGCTCACTGTATGGAGTTTTTGCTTAACTGTATTTGTTAAAAGAAAGGGTTCAATTTTCAGACAGGGAGAGTGGTAGAGAGATAATATTTCTGGAAATGATATAAAAATATAAGGCACCAATAAAACGTATTTAAAAGAAAAGAAAGTTTCCTTTGTTAACGTGTCTCCCATCCCTGGATTTATGTTATGGTTTTATTTACTTACTTGTAACGTACAGCCAAACACACCAATCATTAGCATGACCACAGAGAGATATTCTGTAAACACATCCCACCAAGGTTTGAGTACTCTGAATGCAGGCTGCTGTTCAGAAAATTGCCTGAATTCCGTTACCGGAATCATGATTCTGAAAAAGAAGGAGAAATACAGATGAGTTTAACCAGTGAATCCATTTCCACATAGGTAAGGAAAGCTGAGCGCTGCAGAATTCATGCTTTTGAATAGTGGTGCTGAAGAAGACTTTTGAGAGTTCCTTGGACAACAAGGAGATCAAATCAGTCCATACTTAAAGAAATTAATTCAGACTATTCACTGGCAGGTCAAATACTGAAGCTAAGCTTAAATCCTTTGGCCACATAATGAGAAGACAGGACTCGTTGGAAAAGACCCTGATGTTGGGAAAGATTGAAGGCAAAAGGAAAAGGGGATGGCAGAGGGTGAGATGGATGGATAGTGTCATGGAAACAATGAACATGAACTTGGACAGACTTTAAGAGATAGTAGAGAGTAGAAGAGTCTGGGATGCTAGGGTCCATGGGTCTGGGCACAACTGAATGATTGAACAACAACAAATAGGTAACTCTGATGTTTTTCATTCATTAGTGATGAAAATTAAGTTTTGTAAAGGTCATATTCATGTAATATGTAGATTCAATTAAAAGCTTACATTTATTAAACATCTGTTATATCTATTTTGTATAAGACATGCAGTTAGATCAGTTAATTTTCTGGTGAACTTGGTCACGTAGATCTATTGTTCAAAATGAGGGAGAGAGGGAGGTCCTATACTTTCACTGGTATAAGGAATTCCTGGAAACAATTTTTTTTTTTACCAATGCAGTCTCACAATCTATAGTCTTAGCTGTCTTAGAAACTGAGAAGTTGTAATTTGCCTGGGGTCACACAGATCCAGAAAACTGATGTTCAAAAATATTCAATAACGTTATATTAGTAAAGACACTGGGTAGTAATTGCTGACACCTATGTGGTCCCTTCCGGTTCACAAAGTGCTTTACACACACTAGCTTATTTGGTCTTTACAAAAGCCTGGAGTAAGGCAAGTACTACACGTTCTACTACTCTCCTTTTACAAATGAAGACACAAGCTTGATGCCAGTGGTCACACTGCTATGGAGGTTCAGGGCCAAGATTTGAACTCAAGATATCTCCTAACTTCCCAATACACTGTTCTTTCCACATTACTCCACACATTATTTCATTTGGACCTATAAACACTTATCATTGGTTCTTTAATTAAAACATTTTTCAATGAACAAAAATCAATTTTCTCTTCTGCCACCAAGAGTTTCTGTCCTTCATAGACTTAGAAAGTCTATCCATCCTGACCTCAAGAAGCACTTATGCATTTTTCTAAAACCTTTAAGATATAAAACAATCTCTTATTTTCATTATTTGAGTAAAGCTTCTCACCGTCTGACTCCAGCCTACCTTTCCAAGCTTATTTCACATCACTTTTCTTTCATGCACTATTGTGCTGCCAAAGGTGACGACTTTTAGTCATTCTACTTTCGGTTTCTAGACTTTGCACAGGCTCCTCCCCAGGCCTAGAATGTGCTCTCTCCTCTCACTTCTTAGAATCTCTATTAAGGCTCAATTCCTCACCTCCATGATATTTATATTTATCTTGTATACAAACTTAACCCTGTTTGCCTCAGTTTCCTCATCTGTAAAATGACCTGGAGAAGAACATGGCAAACCACTCCAGTATCTTTACCAAGAAAATCCCAAAAAGAGTCACAAAGAGCTGGACGTGACTGAAACAACTGAACAATAATAACAAACACATTTTATATTGACTTCTCTATATAAATTTTTGTTTCCCTTCAACAGAATATAAGTTCTTTGAGGGCAGGGACCGTCTGTTATGGGTACCTAGTTTAGTGCCTGGCACAGCCAGCACTTATAGCTTTGGAAGAAAATGCCACTTTTTTGAATAAATGAATGAATTGATTGGACATTATTGATACTGTATAGCTGTTGCGTCAACACAAAATAACATATTGCAATGTATTTTTAATTGTTACACATTTTCCAATTACATTTTAATCTGGTTCAGGCCCCACTTAGGAGTTTTGCATAGGCAGCAAGTTTGATACTTCTGCTGTGCAGCACACAATGCACTGCACTAGACACTGAGAGACAGAATCAGAATCATTAAGCATTTGTCAGGTGCCTGCTGTGTGCCAGGCATGGTGCCTACTGCCAGCAATATAAAGTAAATCAAAAGAAAGTCCCTGACCTCAAGGAGATTACAACTGAAATGGGGAGACAATACATAAAAAGAAACTGAAAAGGGAAAGGGAGGGGAGGTTCCCCCAAGTAAGAGGAAGGAATGATGAAGTCAGCATGGGAAGTGAGCTAAGGAAGTGAGAGTTTCAGGGTTGATCTTATTTTGCAGAATGATGAGTCTCTGGAGATGATGAAGTTCAGGAAAGCAGCCAGGTGAGAACAGTTGAGGAGAATTCCATGGCTATTCTCCTTAAATGGTAGAGGATTAGTTCCCAGATGTCCACCAGGATCGTACCCTCTCCAACCAAAGGGAGCTGGGGGAGATATGAAGGTAGAAAGCTTTAAAGAAATACAGGGAGTTTCAGAGACTACTTTAGTTTTATCTTATATTATGTGGCATGATGGGTTTTGATTTGCTTTTATTCTCCTGTTAGTGATCTCCAAGGACTGTCCACGTTCCCAATGTCACCAAAAAGTTCAGATTAGATTTATTTCCATTCAGTTTTCCCCTGAGGCCCATACTGACTTCTTTTCATCTTCACAAGGAGTCAAATGCTTATCCTTGTCTTCAATTAATAAGTTAGAGATGGTTCAGAAGTAATCACCAAAGTGAGTGGTCAGGTTCCACCAAAATTACCTATCCCAGTCAGTCTCCTCACAACTAATGCTGACATCCCCAGGTGAAGAAACAAATGGCAAACTCCTCCAGTATCTTTGCCAAGAAAACCCCATGGGCAGCATGATTCCACAGTCTGTGGAATCATGAAGAGTCAGTTATGGCCAAACAACAACATCAAGGACTACCCTCTCAGACCAAGAAATAATTACAACTTAGTGAGTCTTGAAACCAACCTAAATTCTCACCTGTCTCGAAGCTCTGGAACTGCCTATTTAAGCTAGACGTTACACTCCGCTGGTAGAAACAAGTCAATGCCTTTATAAAGTTCTCTAACACTGCTTCTCTTGAGTGTCAAACTCTTCAGGAAAAAAAAGATGGCAGACCCAACCACGTCACTTTCTGCCCAAGAAAATGCAGTGGCTCCTTGACGACCTTCAAGAGAAAATGAAAACTCCTCTGTGGGGTATTTACAGCCCTTCACAACAACATAGTGTGGATGCCAGCCTTTAAGTAGACTGGGAAGTAGAAAAACAAAAACCGAAAAAGCAAACCTCAAGACTGTACAAAGTCAGCCAACCCAGAAACCATAGAACCCTAGGCAGAACATGGAGCCTCTGTTTGCTCCAGGGACTAGATTACTCGTACTCACTCCTGAGTCGTTTTCTACATATTCACATATGCCTTGCAGGGCCATTACAGCTACAATTTATTGCTTTTTAATCACTACTCAGTGGGAAGCAAATGATTTAGCTCAATTTTAGGTCATCATTTCACTTTGAGTCAACTAGGATCTAAATAGTCTTTCCCTCCATTTCAGGTTCTGTATCTTCTTGAAAATTCCCCTTCATCACAAGTATAAATGATTGTGGTTTTTTCCCCTTTTTCCTTTATCTCAGCCTTGTTTACCCAATGCTCTCTGAGGAATATTAGCTCCTTTATGCTCTTGTAATTTTACAGGCCTTGGGAATTCCCTCCCCAGACACAGATAGCATCCTCTGTACAACTGAGTAGCTAGTAGACAGCTGCCTCCCATGGGTTGTAAGATGCCCTCCAACCTCACAATACCTCTTAAATCCCTCACTTCTTTCCAGGCTCAGCTTAAGCATTACCTTCTATAACAAGGGTTCTTAACCTTCAGATTATAAACGTGATTTTTTCAAGCATAATTATTTTCCATTGCAATGATTTATATTTTACTTTGTGCATTTCAAAACATTATTCTGAGAAGATGTCCATAGGCTTCAACAGACTGCAAAAAAGAGGTTACATAATCCTTTTCTGATTTCCCCAGTTGCTAGTACCTTCCTTCTCCCCTCCCTAACTTTCCTTATCTGTAAAGCATGGCCTCTAGGGTCTCTCCCTAGGTGATTTCAAATTTATGATCCTATAGGATGAGCCCTCCATTTCTTGGTATCTTGTCTATATTTACTTATTTGTGTGCATGTTATCTTTCCAGATAGACAGTAAGCTTCTTGAGGGCAAGGACTGGTTAATTTCTTGTTTCCGTAATCACAATGCCTAGAACAGTGCCTAGTACATAGTAGATGCATAATAAATGCTTGTGGGCTGATTTATTGATAGTGTTTGAGAGTTCTATAAAATTTCTTTAAACTTATTATTATTTTGTTTCTAAATTGTATTTACTTACTTATGGACTTGTTTTTCCTGATAGAATATAAGCTCTTTGAGGGCAGACTGTTTGATTTTTATCTGGGTAATCCCAGGATCTTGTATACAGAAGGCATTTAATAAAAAAACTTGTTGATTGATTGATATTTGAGAATTGCTCCAGAAAAAACATTTCTCAGGCTGTGACCAACCTGGTGGTGTGCTTTTCCTAATTTACCCACCCTGGTCCTCACATGATCCACATATTAGGCCCATACTTGCCTTTCCAGTTCCCTTTCCAGGGAGTTTACCCTCCCTCTGGCAGAGTTTTCAATAATCCATGGTAAAATCCATGCCATGAGTAGGCATCAAAGTAGGACTTCTGTGAGGGCTCTTAGAAAGGGGGTCTCTCAAAAGACAGTGAAAGGAATCCAGGTAGATGCTTATTTAAGATCAACAAGACTTCATCACTTAATCTACTTTCTCTGTCCCCACTAAGCTTTCTCAGAAAGGAAATGAACCACATTTCCTCTTTCAGTCTAAAATGTTTGTCACTACAAAATGTCATTATGTATATACAACTCATTTTCTTCTATTAAGCATAATAGAAGGTAAAGAAGTAATAACATTTTGTTAAAGAAACTTTTAAG